ATAGGTTTCGCTTCGTTGATTGGAATCAAGACTTTTCCCAATACACCCGATAATAAGAATATACGTTATGGCCTTTTATTTGTAAGGGTCTTTTTCTTTATTTAATTTTGACATTAAATGTAAAAAATAATACTTAATAATATTCTTATCTCTACATAGAATTTCGCTTTCATGGAAGGATTATCAATTGGTCCTTTGGTTGTTCAACGCATTAGTAAGTTGTTGAAATTCGTGTCAAAAGAAGAAATGCAATTTCTAACTTTTTAATTATTATAATTATAGTAATATGATCGTTGACCCAGCGGTGTTAGCCAGTACATTTCCTCATAAAAGAAAATTACATTTCTGGGCAAAAAATTCATTATTTGCAAATAAGATCTTAAATGCAATTCTAACTAGTGGTGGAGTTGTTCCCGTCGATAGAAAAACAAAGAATAATAAAGCGCTGTTTGCCGCAACTTTCGAAGTCTTGAAACTCGGTGAAGTTGTTACCGTGTTTCCTGAAGGTAAGAATTTCTGCTGTTAAAGGTGCAAGAGATTTGACGTGTTTATTTACCTGGTTATTTCATAGGAACATCGCATTCTCAATCACGGCTGTTAGAATTTAAGGATGGTGCTTCTTGGGCTGTATTAGAATATGCTTCCTTTGTGTCTGATCTCGAGAAATCAAATGGTGGTCGTGACGATATCGACAAAAAGAAATCGAAATTTCCCGCAAAGGCCATAGTCATTCCCGTTGGACTGACTTATGTTCAAAAATCAAAATATAGGAGCCTGGTCATAGTTGCGTAAGTAGATTTGTGTGAATCCTTTCATGTTAATGTTTCAATTTATCTAATCTCTGATCTCGTCAATAAGATATGGTCCACCTATACACATGGAATCGTATCTCGAGGATTTCGAAATAGATAATCGAGCAACCGTCAAACGATTGACCAAACATATCGAGACTGAAACGGAAAAATTAACGATAAATGCCCCAGATTGGTAAGTTAACTTTACTTTATTCTTAAATTTCTTCCTTTATTAATTTAGTCGACGCGTAATAAATAGGGAAACCTCCCACGCAGCAACAATCGCTAGGCAACTTATATTTTCGGGTGACAAACACGTGCCACTTGAAGATTACGTAAAGATAACACAGAGGTAATTTATTAAAGGTAATTTCAAGCCATTGAATTTAACTAGGCTGTTTTGACATTTTTTTTTTTTTTAAGTTTGATAAATTTTTTCGCAAATACAATTTCCGACGAAATATTATCTTTGAAAAACAATTTAATTCAATATAAGACCTCATTGGACGAACTCCGTTTATCCAACGCTGATATAGCACGCTACGAAAATCGTAGTCTTACAATTCCATGGGCAACATATACATTCTTACGTGAATTGTTGAAATTTGTTGTTCAATTACCATTTTTCTTACCAGGATTATGTTTTCATTGGCCGATATATCTGTTGGGTATAATATCAGCGAAATATGAAATATATGAAGAGTCGAGAGCACAAAATAAAATCGCGTTGGGATTAACATGGTTGCTGATAGCTTATTCGGCATTATTCTTTTTTATTTGGGTGACGTTCTTTTTTACCCCTTTGGGATTTATTCTGGCTGCCAGTGCTGTATTCATTTTCGCTTGGTATCATATTGCACTCGTTGATAGGTAAGTTTATTGCCGTATTTTTTTTTTTTTAAAAAAAACAAAATTCACTCTTATAACAGCTATCGAATAAATAGTAACACGATTTCTTTAATTTCAGTCACTATGACAAATTCAAGAAACTTATATCATCGTTTAGATTACTTGCGGCCTTGTGTAGTGGAAAAGGAAGTTTACCTAGAGATCAAGTTGAGAATTTGAAAGAAAAAAGAGATTTGTGCCTTGGAAGTTTAAAAAAAATTGGTAAAGAGTATAGAAGTAAAAGCGATGATTTAAGAATAGTGTTAGAGCATTGTGAAAGAGCTTTTATTTTTGAAGGAAAAAAATTAAGATAAAGACAATGTATTTAAGAAATTACTGTACGAAGCAGTTTTGAGGTGTAAATTAATTAATTATTTATTTATTTAAATAAATGTGAGATGAATTTTTCATACCTTTATATAATTTATCTATTTTAATATTTATAAGTTCTACTTCAATGAAAGGCGGACGTACTTTCCCTTACAAATTTTCACTGGGATTCTGAGCAGCATTAGCAGCATTACTTTCACTATTAACAACACGATAGACGTTTGTTTCTATAGTTTTTGTTGAATCTTCAATAACAGTCTCTGTAAAATTCGCCGTTGCAGTTGAAGAAGAATCCTGATGATCTTTTATAGCTTCATTGCTTTCTTTTATAATAACGTTTCCACTTTCTTGACCCGTATCTGACGAATATAATTGTGATTTATCGTTAATTTCACTTATTGATGTGAGTTTATCATTAATTTGATCAAGCACCGGAGATGATGATGGAGCATCATCTTTAAGATAGAACCCTCCAAACATAGGATACTTCGAGGCCCTCAGTTGTTGAGTTTTACTTTTTTTAACTTTTTTTCATTATTGTTAATGTCAATAAAAAAAATTTAGAATTAATAAATTTGATTTGTTTGATAAGATCAAATTCATTTATTCACAACCTTCTTTATCCGCTCGTTGTACAATTACTTCCGTGTTGTATGGTTCAATTTTAAACCAATTCTCAAATAATTCCTCTGTAATTTTATCATCTTTATAACTTATCCAACCGAAATTTTTAATTTTTTTTATTTCCGGATCCTATTGAAAAAGAATTAGAATTCAAAACAAAATTGTATACCTAGTTAATCATAATGAATGTTTATTTGATACTATACCCTGGCAAATTTGAATTCAATTAATTCTCCTTTTGCTGCAAAAAATGAATAAACCTTTCGAGCTTCCTCAAGTGTTGGTCTAAAATTCGTTACAAAGAAAGCTTTAAGTGGCCTTTGTATCCTTTGAGCCATTTTAAATATAAGAGACTTTTTATTATATATATATATATATTTCAGGGTGAAGAAATTCAAATTTTTTTTTTTTATCACTGCATGTAGATGGTGGCTGACGTCGTACAATCAAAAATTTTTTTTTTTTTTTTCCACTATCTAACGGGAATTCCCCAAATCTAAAGTGTTGTTTAACTTAATTTCTTTTTGAATTTATAAAAAAAAAAAAAACAAAAAAATGTTTATAACCCGTAAATTATTTTCAATTAAACCTTTACTTCGATATTCATTTAAATCTTTTACAACTTTTAGTCCTACTCAACTTCACTCGTATGATTATTCAACGCGCAATTTTTCAAGAGAAATATTAAGTAGAGGTGGATACTCTTTAAAAATTTTTTTTTTATTTTTTCGATATTTTCCCATTGACATTTCATTTATAGTGAGTAAAGATATAATTTAATTATTCCAGTACGTATATATGTGGTTCAAAGTCGAGGATTTCATAATAATAGAGTATGCCTAGGTGAGTCAATTTCTTTCAATTGCAAGTTTTTAATTTTTCAAAAACGTTTCGATCATCAATTTATTTGTGTGCTTTGAATTCCAAGTTCAAAAAAAAATCGTTAAAAAAGGAACCAAAGAAGCGGAAGAAAAGATCGAAGAGGAACAAGATACACTGGATTTACAAGATGCCGAACTTTTCCCTACGACGTTACTACAAGGACCTTTGAAAGAGCGAACCTCAGAAATTCCACCAGGTGTATCATCAGAATTTTATAAACTTTACAAAGAAGCAATTCAAAAAACTCAAAAAACAACTCCTTTACATGAACTTCCAAGGCATGGACGATTAAATAATTTAATTTACCATATTCAAACGCGTGAGGATTCTTTATTGCTACCGAAAGCGATTGCTCAATGGCGTAAAAAGTTATTACCTTCAACACCGATAACAACTCGTTTCATCATTAAAAAGTGTTGTGAAGTTAATTCCGAAGACGTTGTCTTTCAAATGTTAACGGATAGAGCACAATATGCTTTATTACCTAGTCAAGAAGGATTTAGACGGATCATGTTAGCTTTTGCTAATAAAATCGTTGATCCGTCGTCGGATGAGATGAGCCTCTCTTCAAATAAACAGGAGATATTAGATAATCTTTATAAAACTTTTGGATTGATGGCTTACTATGATATCTCTCAATATGATGTTCATCTTTATACCATCTTAATATCAGCTTCCTTAAAGTTGGAAAGTTGGGAGAGAGTTGATATAACCGCTTCGGAATTATTAGAAAATTTAGATAGAATGAATAATGAAGCTTTGGAATTACCTCCGATTCCTTCTGATTGGGAAAAAAGTGAATTAATAAAGCATGACGATAAATTTACTGAATATAGCGTTGAATCACGAAGGAGTAGATTAAAATCTTGTATCGATATGGCGGATATATTATATAAACGTTATACCGAATCAAAATTAGATGAAAATAAGGCTGAAAGTTTCAGAAGATTAATTGATATTTGGAATGAAAAGTTGGATGTGAATAGTTAAAAGCATTTATAATATTTGATGTATTTATAATAAATTGAACCTGTAACGTTATTTGGTATCAAAATTATTCTCACAAATAGGAATAATTTCTACATGTCATGCATTTTAAGTTACGGAAAATCTGGCTCTTTAGAAACATTCCAAGTCAGGTTTTCAATCTACTCTATAAATGGAAAACCGAATCCATCTGCCAGATTAAAGGAAGTCAAAAGTACGTTTAATGCTCTCCAAAAAGAGTCATTTAAATGAATGTTTCGAAGAAATAATCAAACTGAAACACAAATGATAAATATAACTCCTCGAAATAAAAAAAAATACATTTATATATCTGGGCCTGATTATCCATTTCAAAAGAATTAATAAAATTAATTTCTTTGGGAAATATAGTACACAAGTTAACAAAAAAGAAAATACTTTTCTTTGAGTTATTAAGATTAAAAGTTTATTTTTACATGGTTTATTTTCTATTGAATAATTCGATATCGGCCTTATACCTTTCCAAGAACGGTGTAAGCGGACTAGATTCTGTCATCACATAATTATGAGATGGTGTCGGGGTTTCTTCAGCCATTAATGTCCTATTAAAGTAAAAGCTTCCTCTTCTTATCCTTCTTGATCCACTTTAAATGTATAAAATTAAAATTAATTCTAATTAAATAAGTAAAAAAAAAAAAAACATAAATAGCATCATACGGTGTTGGATGTAAGGTTTTCCACGCTCTTTTTTCTTGTTCAAATTCAATTCGTTCTTTCTGTTAAATGTGCATATGTTAATAAATGAAAAGGATTAATCTTAGGGAAAGAAAAGATGAAAAAAATATGTACCAATATCTGTTCCCTATCTTTGCCCAATCGGATAAGCGATTCGGTAAATGTTTTCCTTTCTTGATTAAGCTGATTACGTTTCAATTGTAAATTTTCATCAAGCTCGTCATATTCGGGTAAAGTAATTTCGTTCCTGTTGAATTATATAATATTTTCAAAAAAAAAAAAAAAAAATTTAATAATAAGAAAACCAATTTATAAATTTTATACTTAAAAAATTATATTCACAAGAATAACGTACCCTGAAACGTTTAGTTTGAATTCTCCTTGACCTTCTTGAAAACCACTCTCAATGAAATTATTAATCATGATCTGAGCTTCCTCCACAAATGTAGCAGCCTCAGCTAATATTATTAAAGCAAACCAAATTGTTAACATTTTATAACCTTAAAAAGGATAGATTCATTAATCATTCTTTACCGAGTTGATTTCTTAGAGAGTCAATTTCTAACTGTAGTTGGCGATTTTCTTCTACCTTGGTTTCAAATTCTGCTACCATGTTAGCCGGGCGATTTTCCCATTCACATTGTAGTGCCAAAAGTAATTCCTTGATTTCTTCTTCAATATTGTTCGCAAACATTTCGAAAGGGAGTTGGAATCTAGCAGCTTTTGGATTATATGAATCTGGTGCCTTTATAATCAAAATTAACAATATATTGATTTTGAATATTAATAAGAGATTATTCACAACTTCGTTACGATCAACCATACTTGCAAATTGGCCAACTCTGGATCTATCGAAGTTTCATATTCATCGCCTAGCTGTGCATGTGATTCTACGAACGTGCTGACGTGATTTTGAACGTCAAAGAGTAATTTTCTCAACTTGGAATTCTCTTGCAATAATTCTTTTTCACGGGCCTCTGCGTCAGCAACGATTTGCTTGAACATATCGGCATCCTAAAACACGTGATAAAATTCTTAGGTGAACTATAAAGTAAATTTTTTTGTGAATAAAAATTAATAATTTGAAAAGACTTACAGGACTTTCTTCTTCTTCTTCTTCGTCTTGAACCACTGATTTATTATGTTTTCTTGATAACACATGGTCATTATAATTAGATGAGCTCAAACGCCGTTTTAAAGGTTTTGAAATAGGATTTACGATTTGTAATCCTATATTTGCCTTCCTATAACTATCGTTAAGCAACTTTTGCATCTTTTCTTTAAATCTGGTATATTCCAATTCCCGTTTTTTAACCTCATGCTATTAAATTGTATTCAAAAAATCAGATTATAATCAAAAAAAATTAAATAAATAAAGAAAAATAAAATAAATAATAGTGATTCGTACTATAAAAATTTAACTTACCACTGCTTGCGTCTTGGTATATTGCAAATTTAATTTCGTCTTTGTTAGTTCATCTTTGGTCAGCCTAAGTTTCTCCAACTCACATTTCAATTCATTTTCTACCTTCCTATTAAAATTACAATCATCATTTAAAATTATTTAAAATACTTTAATGAAAAATAAATCAAATTCCTCACAGTATTTTTGATTTTAATAAATCGATTTCCCGCTCATTTATCTCGATTTTGTTTTTTAATCCTTTCTAAATGATGTTTGAATAAGTTTTAATAAATAATTTGTAATACTACGATGCATCGGTAATTTATACGTTACTTACATTATTTAGACAAGACAAATCATAATCACTTTGTAACCTTCGATGTTTATCATTTAATTCTTCTTGACTTCCAGAAGCCCTTTGAAGGTCTTGTAATAATGAAAGTACACATTCAACAACATTATTAACGGAATTATCTTCGTTATTATCGAGAAAATTTAAAGGTGCCGGATACCCGTAAATATCCAATTGTTGATTTAAGTATATGATTTTATCTCTTAGCTTATCTTTTCCGTTACTGCAATAAAAAAAAAAAAAGTTAAATTACTTTTTTCTTTTTTTTTTTTTGAAGTTCTAAAAAATTAATGAATAATTTAACCTAACCTTTCTTCGTTAATTTCCATTATTTATTTGACTTGAGAATTACGAAAAAATAATCAAGAAAGTTTATTTGCCAAAAATATATAAAGCTAGAAAAGCTAAATTTCGAATTTAATTTAATGGTTGATATTTACGCGTTTATATATTATCATTTGATTGGATGGGAAATTGAATTGTGCAACATTTATATTCAGATCTCCAATTTCGACGCGTGATAACTCACGTGCTCCTAAGGACAAGAATCACAAAGAAGAATAAGTCTGATGAAGATGCGATTGTTTTCTAAGATTCGTCTTAGTTCGGTTATCGGCGATATTGGTAATATGGGAAGATTTCTAGGAAGATCAGGTTCCGAGAAATTTGACTAAAATTAAGATTTTTAATCTAAATATCAAAAAACTAAAATGCAAAAAAAATTCCCAGAATCTGATTTTCATCCCTATAAGTTAGGAAAAATTAAGTCATTCTATTTCTGTATTTTATTGGTATCGAGATGCATAACATTAATTTTATCAGATACTAGCATACAAAGTTATGGAACACAGCCCGGAATACATGGCATGGCATATTTATACATTTACCTGTCTAAATCCTAAAATGAATTTCTTGATATTCTTGTGACAAAACGATGCCACATACCTGGATATTTATGTTGGAACAAAGCTTGTGCATTTTCCAACTGCCTTTTGTTTTCAAAATACAAAGAGATCCACCCAGTAATCTCAAAGCAGAAAAGCATTCCATCAGGTTTTTGTTTCTAACTCTTAATAATATTACCATGGGTCTCAAGATTATGCTTATTATTCGTGAAATCAGGTCCTATAGTACTTATTCAAAGATACATAAGGCGAAATATTTTCTAAGTTCATTTGACATTCATATGGAGAACGGGTTTTCAAGTGGTCAACTCATTATTAATGTGCTCATATAAATAAATAAATATACAGTTAATTCTCTCTAAATGTATCCCCTTGGGATCTATAGTGAAAATTTTAAAAATGTTCATTTAAAGAGAAAATTTCTTTATGATTTCTATATGCTTGGGACTGAACGAGAGTGTGCATTTAGAGAGAAAATATAAAGTGTTTGCATTTAGATAGGGTGCATTTGGAGAGAGTTGACTGTAATACCTTTCTCACCTGATCCAATGTTTCGATTTTCCAATTTTCTATTTGGGCCTCCTCAATTAAGGATAATAGCGTTCATCGCAGGCAATCAGCAATAACTTACCCGTAAACGAGTTTTAAGGCAAATCTCTTCTCTTTGTTTGAAGCGTAAGTCTCTACTTCCCACCCATGATCTCTTGCTCGGTCCCATAATTTATCATTTGGCGGAATAGAGTCGACAATTAAAATACCGCTCAATTTTCGTCTACTTAAAACTTTTGTGACAAGTAGAACATGAAGTTTGGTTGCTTACGGTCAAAGACATTCACATTTTCAAGTTGACTAACGGAATTCGAACCTTCAATGATGAGGTTAGACTTGTCAATAAAAATGGAGACAAGATTGCTTGTTGCTACAAGAAAGAGATTCCTTGCATAAGTATAATAAACTAGGTTGACAAACGAAACAAGGCTATAAAAATAAACCATATTGTGTTCACTTATTTTGTTACGACTCACCAATGGTTCGATCTAATGTGTTTTTTTGGGCGAGTTTGACAATAATAAGCAGAAAAGAAAAGCACAGATTTAGTAAGTATTCGGTATTGTTGGCAAAATGTACGTATAAATTGTCCTTTTCATCAACACTTAATTTATAAAGCCTTTGAACAGCAGCAACAATATTATCAAATGACATGTATGATTTTAGTGGTTTTTTTGCAGAAGTTGCAAACAAAGAGGAAGTACGCAGTTAATACGAGTCCCAGCATCAAGATATTTATTTGCCGGTAAAATTTCTATACTATTACTACGAAATTCTCTAAATACCAGAATTCCGAAATAATTTATCCCACTCATATGTATTACGTATACAAAATTTTTGTCTACAAGAAAATTTTTCCGAATTTGAATCAAAATTCCGGATATTAGCAATGTCACTTTGCAGAAAAAAAAAATCCTTCTGATTTGCTCTTATCATTATAGTTCTGATTCCCGAAAGTTCTTGCATCCCAGGAAATTTATTGCGAATTCTTTTTGATAGGATTCTTGTAATTGCAAAACTTCAAGTGAAAATCACAAGATATACTGCGCCAAATGATAAATTAGATAATAAATCTAATTTTACTTTTATTTAAATATAATTTAAATAAACTTAGAGCTTTAAAATTTATTAAATTAATTTAAATTATAATTTTAGCTAAAAATTTAATTGAAATTATCTTAATATTTGGTTAATCTGAAATTAATAATCTTTAGTTAACTAATCAAAGGAATTCAAATAATAAATATTTTATAAAATAGAGTAATAATATAATTAAATCACATTTTTTATTTGTTAAGTTTTTATATATAATAAAATAGATAATATGATATTATTTTGATTATTTTAATTTTTTAATCTTTAAATTACAATAATTTTAATTAGTTTAATTATTTAAATATATACAGTGGTATGTAAAAAAAATGACAATTTTTTAAATCACATTGATTCAATAACTATTGCACTAATTAAGCAATACAATACATTATTTTTAAAGCTGAAACACAGTATATTTTATTAAAAAATTTTAATATGATATTCTTTCATCATTTTTTTTAATAACCTCTTTATAATGCTATACCATTAAGTTTATAAGATTAATTAAAAGGTTATTTGATATTTTTCCTACTCTTTACCCAAAAACTTTTCAATTTACTAAGGTTTTTTGGTCTATGCAACTTCAAATTTCTCTTAATGATTGTTCAAAAGTTTTCAATAAGGTTTAAGTCTTAAATTATTGAAGGGTTAATCCATAATCTCTGAAACTTTTTTAGCAAAAAATCCTTAGTAATAATACTAATATATTTAGGATTATTGTTTTGCTATAATTGCCAATTATCTTATAATATACTTCATACTTCTAAAAAATATTTATCTAATATTTCTATATAGAATTTTCCATTTATAATACATCTAACACAAGAAGATTAATAGTACTATTTACATAAAATTATTTAAAGCAAAGATTTTACTTTAATACTTTAATATTAGACGATTAATCTAGAATTTTTATATCAATACTTTATTATATTACAGAATAATTGAAAAGTTATTTTATTACTGAATAGAGTCTATTCCAATTATCATTCTTGTGTTTTTGGGCTTATTAAACTCATTTTTGTTTATAATTTATAATTAGTATTAGTATATGAAGAAGAAGTACATTTTAATATCTAAGGCTAACTAAATATCTTGAAACTGTTGAAAGTGAAATTTCTACTCTAATATCTTTCAATTTAATAGTAATAGACCTAGAAGAAATTGAAGGTTCCCTTCAAATAAACTGTTTAACTATCTGAGATACATGTGAGTTATTTTTTTTATACATTCATTACTATTTTTTTTCTTAACTTTTTTAATATTTTCAATTTTTTAAGGTTATAATAGATAATTTTAAATAAAATCTTCGTCAATAAATATATTTTAGTAGCTTTTTATACTCACTTCTTTTAGAAATATAAAATTATTTAACATTAAATTTCTTGTTTATATAGTATTATTTTGATATTAAATAAATTAAAATTTTTAGTAAGATGTGACTAAAATTGTATTAATTACAATTGTTGATTTTTTTCAAAAAAATTGTCATTTTTTTTGCACACCATTATAAATTAATTAATTTTGATTTCATATTAATAATCTATATAACTAATATATAAAATAATTAGTTTTGATATAATTTTTGAATTTTAAATAAAATAATATTAAACTTATAAAAGTATAATATAATTTTGTAATAAAAAGTAAATGATTTAGTAGATATATTATTAATTTAAAAAATTTTTTTTTTAATAAATCTAAAATCATATAAATTAAATTATTAGTTTATTAATAAATAAATTTAATAATTTATTTTAATTAAATTTTATATATAAACCTTTTGCAATAGAATAGAAAAAACAGAAATTTAGAAAAATATAATTTTAAGATGATTAAATTTAAAGATTTTGATTGATCAATAATCTGTAGTATTTATAATAAATAATTATTGATTTAAGTATAAAATAGAATCATTATTAAAAATATATTAGTTTTTTTTATAAAATAATTTGCTCTTTAAGCTTTTAATAAATAAAAAATATAAAAAAAATAACTTATTTAATCTATAAACTATCATTTCAAATTGAATAATAATAATTTAAAATAAAGTAAATAAAATAAAATTAAGTATTACACAAAAGCAAAACAAAAATTATTTGAAATACAAAGTATTATTTTAAAGTGAATTTAATTTTTTTCTTTAAAATAATATTAAATGCTTTTTTTTTTCTCTTTTTAGAAATCAACTTTAAACTTTGAATTTTTTTTTTAAATATACTTGTGATAAGCTTTAGTAAATAAAATTTTTCCTTTAAAATAGTACTAATTATTTTTTTTATTTTTTTAAAATTCAGTTTAAACTTTTTTTTTAAGTAAACCTGTAATAAGTTTTTATAACTGTTTTAATATACTAATAAATTTTTTTTTTTTTTTTTAAGATTAGCTTTAGATTTTAACCTTTTTTTTAATAAACTTATAATAAGTTTTAGTAGTTGAAATTCTTTCCTTTATAATGATACTAACTAGTTTTTTTTTTTTTTTTTAGAAATTAATTATTAATTTGAATTTTTTTTTAAGCAATTTGTGATAAATTTTTCATAAATAGATGATTTAATCAGAATAATATTAATTTTTTTTCTTTTATTTAAAATGAAGCTCATTTTTTATTGCTGAAAATTATAAATTAAATAATATATTACTATTTTACAAGTCTTATATTTAAATTTTAAATAATAATAATATAGTATAAAAGTGTAAAAAATTTTTAAAAAAATTTTTTTTATTAAAGAAAAAAATAAAATTCTTTATCTAATTATTAAATTTTAAATTTTTTTAAATAATTAATAATAATAATAATCATTTTGTTTTTAAAGATTTTTAACATATATAATGTAACCGATTATATAAATATTTTTTAAGCTGATAATTTTACAGAAATAATTTCTTATAAAAATTCTGTAATATTACTACCTTTTTTATTAAAAGCTCTGAATAGTTCAATTCAGTCTAAATTAGAAGCTAATCTGAATCTGAATTGAAAATTTCAATTCAGTTCGGTTCAGTTTATTAACTTTAAAAATGTCAATTTGAATCTAAACTAAACTATTGACTGGTAAAATATGAACTAAACTAAAATTTTTAGATTAATCTGAAATTTTAATACGATTATATGCGAATTTTAAAGAAAATCTGCAATATATATACAAAACTCTTAAAAAATCTAAAACTTATTGCAATTTTCTAAGAGAATTTGCAAATTTTTGTGATTCTCAGAATTTTACAAAAGAATTGTGATTTTCTAAGATTTTTGCAAAAGAATTGTGATTCTCAAAGAGAATTTGCAAATTTTTGCAATCCTCTAAGAGAATCACATATATTCAAAATAAACTTTCAGATTAATCTGAAATTTTCAGTTCAGTTTAGATTTTTTTTTAGTTTAGATTAAAATCGAACTGAAAATTTTCAGATTTATTTTTTTGCAATCTGAAAGTAATCTGAACTGATTTGAACTGAAAAATCTTCAGATTAATCTGAACTATTTAGAGCTTTAGATAACAAATAAGTATCACATAATTGCAACTAGTTGTAACATCATCTTTATTTTTTATAATATTTATAATTTACTTATCACTATTAATTGTTTTTTAATTTTTATTCTACCTATATTATTACTATGAAAAATAAAATAATAATATTATAAAATATTATGAATTGTTTTAAAATATTTTAATAAAAATTTTATTCAATTATAAAAATATACTATATGATTTTCATCTCTATCAAAAATTGATTATAACTTTTTAATGTTAAACTTTTTATAATATCTATTAAATCTTCAA